AATCATGAAAATCACTGGTTTTGGCTCCGCGGGTTAGTTACACACCCTGGCCGTGCTGAAAGGGTTAAATATCGCGTTATTTTGGCCACTTTCCATGCCGATGGAAACTTCCCTGTTCTGAAAGACAAATTAAAGAGAAGACATAGAGGATATGATGATGATGGTGCTAGAGCCTTAACAACTTCGTTGGAGATACCGTCCATACCAGGCGATTTTTTTAAGCTTAAGCTTGGCAATAGCTTTGTGCACTCCAGCTGTGGTTATTATCGGAGCGCGAAACGCATTCGGGAGGCAAGGGTGTTGGTCTAAGGACGGCAATGGTATGGTATTATACTGCAAGTTTACAAAGGAGAAAGGATCAAGGAACTACAAGTTACGCTATACTGCCCACTAACACCACCAGTTACTAATCAATCAGCTCATGCGATAACATTGCACAACACTGACCGACGGTACTGACGTTCTACAACTAACTGGCTAACAGCTCTAGCACATCTTGGATGCGCGTCGGTCAGTGTTGTGCAATGTTATCGCATGAGCTGATTGTTTAGTAACCGGTGGTGTTAGTGGACAGTATAGCGTAACTTGTAGTTCCTTGGTCCTTTTTCTTTTGTATAAATTAATCCTTGGCTCTCCATCCGAGTCCATATACTGTAAGACCAGATATTTTAACGTCAATTAAAGTTAACGGTCTCCGGATTTTTGTGGTTTAACGAATTCCGTCTCAAAGCCGGCAAATGACTGTACATTTTCATATCATTTTCTACCTAACGACTTCAAATGTTAACGAATTTTTTAATTCGTTAAATTGTTAGAATTAAATGTTCGTTCACACTACTGGTCTTACAGTACATAGCCCTTGACAAGCAAGACAAAAAGAATGGGTGGGTGGGCCCTTGACAAGCAAGACAAAAAGAATGGGTGGGTGGGCCCTTGACAAGCAAGACAAAAAGAATGGGTGGGTGGGCCCTTGACAAGCAAGACAAAAAGAATGGGTGGGTGGGCCCTTGACAAGCAAGACAAAAAGAATGGGTGGGTGAGCCCTTGACAAGCAAGACAAAAAGAATGGGTGGGTGGGCCCTTGACAAGCAAGACAAAAAGAATGGGTGGGTGGGCCCTTGACAAGCAAGACAAAAAGAATGGGTGGGTGGGCCCTTGACAAGCAAGACAAAAAGAATGGGTGGGTGGGCCCTTGACAAGCAAGACAAAAAGAATGGGTGGGTGGGCCCTTGACAAGCAAGACAAAAAGAATGGGTGGGTGGGCCCTTGACAAGCAAGACAAAAAGAATGGGTGGGTGGGCCCTTGACAAGCAAGACAAAAAGAATGGGTGGGTGGGCCCTTGACAAGCAAGACAAAAAGAATGGGTGGGCCCTTGACAAGCAAGACAAAAAGAATGGGTGGGTGGGCCCTTGACAAGCAAGACAAAAAGAATGGGTGGGTGAGCCCTTGACAAGCAAGACAAAAAGAATGGGTGGGTGGGCCCTTGACAAGCAAGACAAAAAGAATGGGTGGGTGGGCCCTTGACAAGCAAGACAAAAAGAAGGACAATCTTTTTTTCGCAAGCTTTGTTTCACAGCGCTCGCTCAACAATGATAACATCACTACAGTGACGTCAACCTGCACTGCGTGCCACAACAAAATAATGTGCAGAAAATAAGCATCGCAAATATTCGAAGTTCGAGAGAACATTGCTTCTCGTTTCTTTTAGAATACTCAGCCAACTAGAAACGTACACAACTACAAGTTACTCCATAATGCCCAATGACAATTCCACTCTTCTGTTATCATAATTATAACTTAGAACCTTCCAAGTTGGAATTTGCATTGTTGCGGTCGGCGATCATGTGCATCCGAGGTGCCTGATCGTCATATCACCGTCCTGTGAATGCATTGCGAGAGTTGGTAATCTCGGAGGGCCGGCTGTGAGGTTTTGGAGACGATGGTGGGCAGGACAGTGCCCTTGTATTTTCCTGGGTTTTTTCTTCTTTCTTTTTTTCTCGTTTTGCGTTTCTTTTCACACATACAATGGTTTTCATTTTTTGGTGTTGTGTTCTAATCATTCGCCATGCCACTGTCAATTGAATTCTATTTGCCCGTAAAAGAGGACTTATCACCATTGCATTCGACCTGAAGAGTAATGGAGTGAAAGGCATTGTCGAACAAATTATATGGCTTCTGTGCTTCATGTGCTGGTATGTGAAAAACCCTTTATAATAGCAGTCTTGTCTTATTCCAAGTTGGAAGGCTGTTGGTGTGCACATCCAAGATGTGCTACAGCTGATAGCCAGTTAGTTGTAGAACATCGGACTCCATTTCCAAGTTTTTCAGTGTTGCTACTCTGAGTTTCGTGCAAATGCACTCTTCAGGCAACTTACTCTTCTCTCACATCAGTATCCCTTTACATACCAGAAAAGACGAAAAGAAGCACCCTAGGTGGGAATCACACTATTGTTCTATTGTTCAGCAATGTCGTCAGGTTGAGCACTCTTACCTTAGCGCGAACCCTTGCCGCTCGCCTTGTGCAACGCTCACTGCTCTTGGAGCATTTCGAGCACTCTTGGCGGGGTTTGCAGCTCTTTATAAAAATGCTTTGCTTTACGGAAACGTATTTCATTGCGAAGAGCTGCGCTTCGGTCCTCTGAACTGTGCTGATGAGCTCTAACAGAGCGAAACAGTTGCTGTCCACAGACTTGAGTTCTATTGTTCTATATATTTTTTTATTTTTAATTGCTATCAATAGCTGATTGCTGATAGCAATGAAAATTCAAAATTCCAATCAGGCCCGAACGTACCTTGCCAGAGTGCTCAAACTGACAAGTCAGTGAGCTCTGCGCAACGCAAACAGCAAAGGCACTACCCTACATGAAAGTGCTCAACTACTACAAGAGCAGGAGCGAAAATACTCAATCTGCGGACAGCATGCTGTTTCGTTCTTTGTGAACTCATATATATATATATATGGGCCTCAACCAGCGAAAACAGCCCTTAGGGTCAACATTTTCAAAATTCCTTTTTGGTTAGAAATTTGTTGAACCACATCTACTGAAGGACCTCAGCCAAGAAAAAGTTCAATATTCCGATTCTAAACGGGTGTATACACCAATATACAATATGTACTCCAAATTGGTGCAATGTATGTATACGATGTATGTGTACAATGAATATTCAGCATTCGAAGGTGGGTGGGCAGCTTGAATACTTTTGAAATAGTGAAGTAAGCAGCTATAATGACAAAGAATAGCTAATGAGTGCGGAGAGGTGATCGACATATTCGCAGCTTCATCCTGCGTGGAGTCGTTCCGCAATCTCGTCTTCCATTTCTTCCTCCGCAGCTGAAGACACGACGTCGCTGCGGTCACTAGCCCCAGACTCAGAATTTATCTCAGGTGACGACTCCTCATCTTCCGACTCTGACGAGTCATAGGCCACCTTGAGCCGCATCGCAGCAGGAGATGACGGCTGCGATCCGCCTCGCTGTCGACACCGATGTCGGAACCAAAGAACGTTTCATCCTCATTCTGAACTTCAACGGCTAATTCAGCATCCACTCCCCACCAGGCTCGAGCTAGCTGTAGACAATGACTGCCGTGTGTGCTCTGCGAACAGCTCTGGCGTCCGCAGCCATCGCAACAAAATCAAGGAACACTGGAGTCGCCACTCGACACCCCTTCAACTTCAAAATAAATTACTTCAAGCCAAGAGTTCAAGAAGTCGTCGCGCTGTTTGCAGCGCAATCAAAAAATCGTTGAACGTCACAAATCGAACTTTTTTTTGTAAAAATTACGAAATCTCTAAGGGTCGTTTTCGCTGATTGCGGCTCATATATAATAATTCGCTCCTGCTCTTGTAGCAGTTGAGCACTCTTGCGTGGGGTAGTGCCTTTGCTGTTTGCGTTATGCAGAGCTCACTGACTTGTCAGTTTGAGCACTCTGGCAAGGTACGTTCGGGCCTGATTGGAAATTTTTATTTCCATTGCTATTAGGTTCGGCCTCATTTCCTCTGTGCTGCGCTGACGAGTCCACAAAGGACGAAACAGTTCTGTCCGCAGATTGAGTATATATATTTTATATTTATGGACGAAACAGTTCTGTCCGCAGATTGAGTATTTCGCTCCTGCTCTTGTAGCAGTTGAGCACTCTTGCGTGGGGTAGTGCCTTTGCTGTTTGCGTTATGCAGAGCTCACTGACTTGTCAGTTTGAGCACTCTGGCAAGGTACGTTCGGGCCTGATTGGAAATTTTTATTTCCATTGCTATCAGGTTCGGCCTCATTTCCTCTGTGCTGCGCTGATGAGTCCACAAAGGACGAAACAGTTCTGTCCGCAGATTGAGTATTTTATATTTATATATTTATTTATTTTCCTCTGCTTCTTCTTCATAAGCGGTTGACGGAGACTCCCTCGATTTAGGCTAAGGCCTGTGGAGATTCCATAAATACAAATACAATCAAACTCACCCACAGCAATTCCCTTGCCTTAGTCTTTCTGACACTGACCGTTAGGCCCCAGCTGCTTGCACATGTGATGATGCTGGATGTCATCGCTTCAAAGGCAGGCCGAGATGTTGTGTACAGTGCAGCGTCGTCATCAAACTGGGATTCTGTGACCTTTGATGACAGGAGCTTGCCCTTCGCCGCTCGATCACCAACTAGTTTCCTCCCGACTTTATAGTACACCCACACCCACACCCACGCACGCGTACACGCCCGCACCCGCGCCCGTGCACACGCACACACACGCGCACCCACACGCACACGCACACATACACACACACACCTACCTACCTACCTTCTTACCTACCTACTTACCTACCTACCTACCTACCTACCTACTTACCTACCTACCTACCTACCTACTTACTTACCTACCTACCTACTTGCAGACAGCGTATAAACGATGAGCAACTTTCTCTGACATACGAAAACACTGCCCGATATGTTTGAGAGTGGTTCCTGTCGTCAGTACTGGCCACCAACATGTTTATCTATAACAGAATGAGGATGCTGATTATGCATGAGGTACTGTAGGGCACAACACACACACAACATTCTGTAATGGCCGGTACCAAACTAAAGGCCACCATGTGTACTTACTTTCTTCAGTGGTAGCGATGACAACAGTAGCACTGCTCGAGTAAATGGTTGATAGTGTGTAGCTTGCGCGGGCTGTTACAGTGCATGTGTACATTGTAGCATGGGTTAGACCATCAACCATTGCAGTTACATTGCCAGGGAGTAGAACACCGCTAGAATCAGTAGCTCGGACTGTTGCTGTTGCTGGTCCTGATGGTGATGATCTCGGACATGACACGACGTACTCTCTAGTACCTGCTGCATTCCACTGTAAATTAGTCAGAGCAGCCAACGTTACAACCAGAGAAGTTGGGGCTGGATTCACACCGAGTATGGGTACTATTTCTGGATCTGTGCAAAAACGAAAGGAGAACATTTGTGGTGTAGAGGTATATTGAAAAAGTTCCTTTTCAACAGGTCAGTATGCTGAAGCATAGTATGTTGCAGCAAAATTTACGCGTCGGGTCTACACGCCACCGATGATAAATTGCAAGAGGTTCAGAACGCACGTGCACCGACGAATGTCATGGAGCTCGAGTCATTATTGGGTCTGGTGAATTTTTATTGTCAGTTTATTGAGAACTGGGCTTTGCTCGCACAGCCTCTCTACGATCAGCAGAAGCGCAACACCGCTTGGAAATAGAGTATGGCTCATCCAGAAACTGTTGAAATGTTGTCTCACCATCCACTCTTTACTTGCTCTTTCCCAGTACAGTTGCCTTGTTATTCACCCTGTCGGCATTACGGAAAACACTCACCAAGTTTTTACTTGTAGAAAGGAAAAAGGACATAAGATCCCAACTTGGGTGGCTCAGAAATATCAAAGATAAGTACAGAAGGGGGAAGCTTTGCGAAAACGAATTTTACAAGCCGAACGCCAAACTCCGACAGTACTCCTCATGCATGACCTAAGGAGTCAAATTTAAGTAGTCAAATATATTGTGTATTTGACTAAGCAGTCAAATACGCGATATATTTGACCGCTTAGGTATCAAGGAAATTAGTGGGGTCAAATACTGAGAAGGCGATAAGCAGCATTATCAACAACGATACACAGCATTATCAACAACGATACACAGCATTATCAACAACGATACACAGCATTATCAACAACGATACACAGCATTATCAACAACGATACACAGCATTATCAACAACGATACGCAGCATTATCAACAATGATACGCAGCATTATCAACAAGGATACGTATAGATTATAGACCGGTTAGGAGGTCTATACAGGATATATAGACCAACTATGAGGTCTATAATCTATTTATCGTGTTCTCCACGCAATAGTTTCTCTTCATATACGACATATCCTTGTAATTCTAGTATTATACTATAGCCTATACCGCAATGTACGGCATTGCAGGATCAAGGTCATTGTTTAAAGTACGTTCAGCATCGGTAGCACAGTGGCTGGGTGGTAAGGAAGAGTGACTGAGATTCACAAGGTTGTGTGTTCAAATCCCATCTTGTGTATTTCTGCTTTCTTCAAAAAATTCTTTTTCTAAGTTGGAGAGAAAATTTCCAAGTCCAAGAAATTCTAAGGAGTCAAAATGGAAGTTTCCGGAGGAGGAAGGAGGAAACTGTAGTTATCACCAACCCTCACCGCGCCCAGCTCACGCCGCTACGGCGTGCGACCTGAGCTGGGCACCCTGCCCAGTATGGAACTGGCCTCAAGACAGTCACGTATTCGGCAGCCCAGTGAGCTGTCTACCGGATCGCAGCGTTTAGAAGCGCCAAATGCGGCAGGACCAGTCTCAGGCTGGTCGCGTAGGCGGCAGGCCGGTGGGCGACCGGCAAGGCTGCATTCGCATTTGGATCACCGAAGTGATACAGGTGCTTCGACGGCACTCCGTGGCGCATCAAGGAGGCATCTGGGGCCCAGGCAGCCCGCCCGTAAGCGCACCACCGTATCAGGTATGCGCAGGTGGAGCAGCAGAGCAAGATGTGTGCCTGACACTCACCATCATCCGGTCGACCGCATGGTTGTGCGACTTTACACAGCCGTCACTCATTACTTGCTATTGCTTGCAGAAGGCCAGAATTTTTTTTCTTTTTTTCGCTCTTTCCCTTCTTCCAGGCACGGCTTCATGTTAGAGCAGTAAATTGCAGTTAGGGACTCAGCTGAGTCAAGCTGGACTCAGCGTGTCAAGTTTGGCATAATACAATAAGCGCGCTATCCCCAAACAGTTGTGTGGTTATTGTGTGAGTGTATATGCAGGAGTCCGCGGTCACGTGAGGGGGGAGTGATAATATAAGTAGTCAAATATATTGTGTATTTGACTTAAGGGGGCTCAACCCCGAAGAGGGAGCAAAAATAATTATGGTAAATCGATCTGAACTGTGTGTTTTCAGATGGCCAGACACCTACGAGGTGAATTGCTATTTCAGGACATTGTACATTTCTGGACATTTCGAGTAAAATAATTTTTCGTCGCATGTAGAGTCAAGTCAGTCAGGTTGATGAAGTTTTTTCTTGTTGTAGTTGACAGCTGGGCTGTTGTAGTTTCTCCTCGTATCGGCGCCTTGTTGATAGCCTTTTCTTGGGAGGCATTTCAACGAGTTTTGTGGTACTATGTCGCATGAGAATTTTGAATTTTGAGTAAAATAAGAAGTAATGGACGAATCGTTGGCTTCCCCATGTGCACTCCACTTCAGACGCTGTATAGTCTTGGACCTGTTGGCTGGAAGTGTGAAGAGGCCAACTGCAGTCCACCAATAGAAAAAATAACAAAAATGGTGCAGTATAGGATGCCTATTGACGCTATTTTACTTTCATGTCCAGAATTCAATACACTGAAATTTAGGCCAAAAATTGGCCTGTCGAAAACATCCTGCTATAAAGTCTCTGGGATCACAGCATGAGCAATTGTCACATATTTGGAAAGATGAAGGATTAGGCCATACAATAGATACAAAAAGATATGAAAAATGTAAAACACACAGCCAGTGGGCCTCTATTTTATTTTCATGTCCAGAAATTGCTATTCACCTCGTAGAGAACTGGTCTGGGGTATTTCAAGGATAGGTCTATTATGTGGTTCCCCAGCTATGGGGGTGTAATTGTACCTATGTTTTTCGGCAAAAATTCAATGATTTTTCACTAAAGGCGTAAAATTCCAGTTGGAAATGCTTCAAAAATCCTGAAAGTGGGTATGGAGGGGCCTACAATACTGTCTCCTTTAGAAAATGTCCACAACATATGACCAGACCACTGTGAGAGGCCAAGGTAGCCCAGAATGTGATTTGGCAAAACGCGTATTTCAGCAGACCGGACTTTAGACTTGTTTGAATAGTGGAGAATCGAGACAATAACATGGTCCATTTCATGGTCATTATCTGCTCTTCAAGGCCATAGGAAGGCTCTAAAAAAATAAATTTTTATGTCTACCATCTCGTTTCTCCGTGAGAAACAAAATTTGTGACGGATTTTGCATATTCAACTTGAAAGTCAGATTCAGCATTGTTGCCAAAATGAGTGTATCGACTTCATTCAAGCTTCACTTTGACTATGTAGGGCGAGAAGCATTTTCTATAGACCAATCCCAGACAATACCACAGGCCACAGTCACCACTGAATTGTGTTATTCACATCTTTGTTGTATATTGTGAGTATGTACATACATCGTCAGGCGAAATAGCACGTCATAGTACATTTGAGATCAGCGGGAAGAAGATGACGACGTCCACTAATTCAGTATCTGTGCACACGAATCTGCTGTGTGTGTGACTCTGTGTGTCAGCTATGATATCATCTTCTGTGGTTCCATGCCTAGCATGTACGTCTGAACCATCCTGCAAAGTTTGAATGACGTAGGTTGAGCGATCGATCCGCGAAACATACTTTTTGAAATTCTCTTCATAGTATATCTTCCACCTATGAAATTTCGAATTTCTTCGAAAAAAGTGCTGAGAGGGGTGGCTTGCAACCTCGATATGGCTTGTTCCAGGCATGCTTTGGAGCCATCTTCTGTTGAAGTAGTGGCAGGGATCTGCCCTGCAACTGCTACAACAAAAAATGATTCGATCTGAGAAAGGGTGAGACCGCGAATCTCCGTTGAATATTGAGTATTTCAAGCCTTTTCACGACGAAGATGGAGTTCTTTTTGGAGATGAACGGCGCGGCAAAGGACATGGTGTCCGACTTCTGGCGTCTGTTGAAGCCAGGGATCATTTGTCCAGTCAGGTCGGCAGCCTAACCGTCGGTAAGCTTGTGTTTGGATCCCGTTCTGCTCGATGTGGTAGATCACAAACAATTTTGATATCGCACAAATTGATCTCAGCATCGTGCGTACGGTATTTTATATTCAGAAAATCCCAAAGTGTCTCTGTGTGGCCGTCCTATGCCACGAGAAACTCCAATCAGGCTCCTATGTCCTCTGCCTTCATGATTGAATGTCCACTTCGTTTGAACAACGAACACATCAATCGAGGAGGGCTTTGCAATGAAAAATACAGCTATACTGGAGCTGAAAAAAGAAAGAAAAAAACGTGCTCAGGATGAGACTCGAGTACACGCATACTCTCCCAGCAGGTGAAACGCAAATTTTTGTGAAAAATGCTTGACGCCGACTGACCAGTAATTTCGCCTGACGAATATAATGTACATACATGTAAGAAAGGGTTTGCTCCCCACACCGGAGCTCGCGCTACATACATACATACATACATGTACATAACGTTACATACATGCATGTGTATATCAATGTACAAAACAACGGCTTATAAGTATAACGCTGTCAATGAGCAACTTGAGTTGCTTGGTTACTGCTGGATGAGATGGCTAGCAGCCACTGTTGGTATTGTGGGTTCGCGCCTCCAGTGTGCAGCACAACGTGAATGTTTGAGCAGATAACTGCAGCATCATCACGAGTGGTAGAAAGTGGGGACGATGCTGCACCTCCTGCAGCTGCTGGAGTACTTGTGTGGTCTGGAGCAGTCTGTAAAACAGGGGTGTTGGTGTTGGGTCTTGCAGCTGCTAGATGATGTGTTATGCGTTTTGTAATATCAGAACTCGTTGTGACTAGCACACGCCCAACGCCACCCGGCTCGTGCAATAATCCAGGGATGCCAGTTCCCTGATTCCTCTCAAATGCCAACACCAGATGATTGTACCTGTAGGCAAGATATTATATAACGTTGTTGTTGAAGAATATTTATACTTCTACAAACACCCATGTTGCAGCGAAACTCCCACTCCAGCTTGTTTGCTGAGACTGTGACAGAAGCCTGACTAGTGCTGCAATGTGTACTGTTGTGATTCATGATTTCAGTTGACATTCCTTGCCTTGCCTTGCCTGGGTAATATTGCAGTTCTTCACAACATGCATAACACAATTTTA